GACCGCGCAGCCTGGGGCCTCCTCCCCTTCTCCTCGCCCTCCTCCTCCCGCCCCTGCTCCCGCCCTCCGTTCCCCCGCGCCCCTGCCCCCCCGCCCCCGCCTCTATGTTGCGATTGCTGGTGTGGCCACGCACGTCAATGCCACGCGAGCCGAAACTGAGCATAGCAGCAACGAGCTATGGAGACTTAGAATTGCTCCGACGAGTCCGACTCCTCAGCGCTGGTCGGCCCGCTCGCTTTGCGACGGGCCGCTTCCAGGCGTTGGGCACGGTTCGTCTCTTCCTGCCCTTTCCTCCCTGCCCGCTGCCCCCTCCCCCAGCTGCCTCTCTGGTCGTCGTCGCTCCCTCCGTCTCCCTTTTTTCCCAACCCTACTGCGTTGGTTTCTCGTTTTGAATAGAGCAGTGCGGTCTCCGTCCTCCTCCTTCTTTCCTCCTCCTCCTCCCCGCCTCCCTTCTCCTCTCCTCTCCTGTGCGCCTGGTGGTTTGCCTGTGGGGCCTGCGAAGCGTGAAGCTGGCATGCCTTGGGAGCTGCGATCTGCGAAACTGTCGCCACTTTCGAAGCCTGCTGGGGGGACCAGCATAGTGGGTACCCGCCGCAGATCTAGATTAGACCTGCGAAGCTGTCACCACTTTCGAGGTCTGCTGTGGGGACCAACATAGTGGGTACCTGCCGAAGGCCCAGATTAGACCTCGCCATCCCTGGGGGCTGTTATTTGCGAAACGGTCGCCACTCTCGGGCTGCAGGGGGGACCAGCATAGATTGCACCCGCCGCAGACTCAGATTAGACCTCGCCATCCCTGGGGGGCTGCGATCTGCGAAACTGTCGCCACTTTCGAAGTCTGCTGGGGGGTCCAGCGGAGTGAGGCACCACCCAGACTCATATTAGACCTCGCCATCCCTGGGGGGCTGCGATCTGCGAAACTGTCACCACTTCCGATGGCTGCTGGGGGGTCCAGCGGAGTGAAGCACCACCCAGACTCAGATTGGACCTCACCATGCTTGGGTCTGCGATCTGCGAAACTGTCACCACTTTCGAGGGCCGCGGGGGGGTTCGGCGGAGTGATGCACCACCCACACTCAGATTATATCTTGCCATCCCTGGGGGTCTGCGGTCTGCGAAACTGTCGCCACTTTCGAGGGCTGCAGGGGGTTCGGCGGAGTGAGGCACCACCCAGACTCATCTTAGACCTCGCCATCCCTGGGGGGCTGCGGTCTGCGAAACTGTCGCCACTTTCGAAGTCTGCTGGGGGGTTCGGCGGAGTGAGGCACCACCCAGACTCAGATTAGACCTCGCCATCCCTGGGAGACTGCGATATGCGCAATTGTCGCCACTTTCGAGGGCTGCTGGGGGGGTCAGCGGGGTGAGGCACCACTCAGACTCGGATTAGACCTCGCCGTCCCCGAGGTCTGCGATCTGCGAAACTATTACCACTTTCGAGGGCTGCAGGGGGATCCAGCGGGGCGCCGTCGCGGATCGCCCGCAGACCTGGCGGCGCGCCTTTGAGCGTTCAGCTCCCGCACTGAAGAGTGCGGGAAGGAAGGGAAGCTGGCGGGCGAGCTAGGCCTCGCTCGCTTCTTGCACTACCTATAAGCAGCTTAAATCATTTTGTCGAGCGCCGCGGCGACATAGCGCAGGCAGCGCTGCATCTCTAGCGCACTTCCGACAAAGGTAACACTCTTCGGTCTCCTCCCGGCACTTTCGTCGCCGTCCTCTGCCCCCTGCCACCTTCCCTCTGCTGCTGCCGCGCTGACGGGTCGGCCTGCCCCACGCGTCCTTTACCTGCCCTTCGTTCCTGCCCCCATGTCCTCCTCAAGCCTGGGCGCTCGCTCCTTGTCCTTCTGTTGTTGTCCTGTGGAGGAGGAGCAGGAGGAGGCCTCTCGACGGCTTCTTGGGGCTCTGGGGGCCAAACTGGGTCGTGGACAGGACGCCTATCCCTGAGGGTGCCGCCTCTGCCGCCGACCCCACAAGAGCTTGCGTGTCCGAATTTAGCCGAGTGTGGTTTGTTCGACTCGCCAAGTGGCCTCCCAAATCACCCCTAAGACGGGCAAATATACGCGCAAGCGAGCTCGAAGACGGCCCAAGAGGGCTTCAGCTATCCGATTTGGAAATCTGCATGCCTTACTTGCTATGAGGGTGCTTTGCTGGGGTAGTCGTCTCTTTGGTCCCTCCTGGGTGGCCTCTTGGAGGCCTCTTTGGGCGTCTTCGGGGCTTCTCGAGCCGTCCTGGGGCCATGTTGGGCGTTTTGGGGCGATCTTTCGGCGATTCGGGGCCTCTTCGACCGTCTTGGGTTCGTCTTGGGGCCGTGTTGGCCCATTGTGGGGCCCGTTCTCCCTCCATGTTGCGTTCGGGCTGGGACGGTGTTGTTAGGCGGGACCTCTCCGCTCCAAGTTGATCTGGTTGGGTTCCGGTGGGAGGGGTTTGGGGAGGGGGAACATTTCACACGCCGAAAGGGTCGGCGGATATCTTGTCGGTCCCACCAGCAGCATGTCTAGAGCGCGGGACTCTTCTTGTGGGGTGGGTGACCCCTGAGAACCTGTGCCCAGAGGCTCCAGGAGGCTGCCAGTGTCAGGTGTGGTGGGGGCGTGTGAGCTGCCAGTGTCAGACGTGGTGGGGGCGTGGTGGAGGGGGTCCCAGACGATTTTTGCATGGTGGGTGGCCCCTAAGAACCTGTGCCCAGAGGCTCCAGGAAGCTGCCAAAGTCAGGGGTGGTGGGGGCGTGGGGGCGTGGTGGGGGGGTCCCGGACGATTTTTTTCCAGGGTCGGCGCCCTTGAAGAACGTGTGCCCAGAGGCTCCAGGAGGCTGCCAGTGCCAGGTGTGATGGGGACGTGGTGTAGGGGGGTCACGGGCGATTTTTGCAGAGTGGGTGGCCCCTAAGAACCTGTGCCCAGAGGCTCCAGGAGGCTGCCAGTGTCAGGTGTGATGGGAGCGTGGTGGGGGTCCTGAGCGATTTTTGCAGGGTGGGTGGCCCCTGACAACCTGTGTCCAGAGGCTCTAGGAAGCTGCCAGTGTCAGACGTGGTGGGGGCGTGGTGGTGGGGGTCTCGGGTGATTTTTGCAGGGTGGGGTGCCCCGAAGAACTTGTGGCCAGAGGCTCCAGAACGCTGCCAGTGTCAGGTGGTGGGGGCGTGGTGGGGGTCCCCGACGACTTTTGCAGGGTGGGTGGCCCCTAAGAACCTGTGCCCAGGGCTCCAGGAGGCTGCCAGGGTCAGGGGTGGTGGGGGCGTGAAGAGAGCAGGACAAGGTCCGAGAGGTGATCGCACACGCTTCTTGGGTCGGCGGATGACGGGAAGCGTCTTCGAGGAACGAGAAGCGAGCTGGACGTTTTGGCTGAATCCGCTTCGTATCAGTAAGAGATATCTTAACTGTAGGGGGTGGCGGGGTGCACGGGGAACCGGCTTACCGGATTCCTCGGGATGGCGATTTCGCTCGAGACATCCTCACAAAAATGAGATCTTCGCGACATCGCGTTTAACCAAAACAAGCGTTTCGCTCGAGACATCCTTGAAAAGTTTATGACAGCGAAATTTCGCCGTCTGTGAAAATTTGCGTTTCGCTCGGGACATCCTCGAACAAATGTCATGACGACTGAAGTCTTTAACTAACTCTTATGTTAAGAATTGCGATTTCGCTGGGGGCATCCTCAGATAACGAGCGGCAGCACGGCGGACCAGAACGAAGAGCACGGCAGAAAATTTGTATTTCGCTAGGGACATCCTCAACAAAATGAGACGTCCTCAACGTCGTCTTGATATCGTTCTCGAAGTACCTCAAGATGACGAAATGAGAGGGCAAAAAGCACGTCAAGATGGCTGTCAGAACGATTGGGGGACTTCCGAAAATAGCGATTTCGCTAGGGACATCCTCAAAAAGTGAACACATACACCAGCATCGACTTGAAAACTGTTGTTCTTACATAGTTTTGACATTGCTTCTGAAAAGGCTTCCAGACGGCCCAAGGCAGCCTTCAAAACATGTCGATTTCGGTAGGGACATCCTGAAAAAAATGATGCGTGCGACATCGCATCGTAATGATTTTAGGAGGGCATCAGGAAGCAACAGAAGGCCACAACATGGCTCCAAGAGCGCCCTTAAGGTTGCTGAAAATAGTGATTTCGCTAGGGACATCTTCAAAAAAATAACACATCGAACAACATCGTTTTGAACACTGCTGTTTTAACATCGTCTGGGGATCGCTCCTGAAAAGGCTTCTAGATGGTTGAAGCCAGTCATCTAAAAATGGCGATATCGCTAGGGACATCCTGAACAAATGAATGTGTGTAACATCGGACTGTAACGGTTTTGTAAGGCATCAAGAAGGCGCCCAATGGCCCCAAACAAGCCCAAATTTGACCCCCAGGAGCGCCCTCGAGACGATCCAAAATGGCGATTTCGCCTGAGACATCCTTACAAAAATGAAATGTTCACAACATCGATTTCATCAAAAATGAGCGTTTCGCCTGAGACATCCCTTGAACATGGGAAGCCGCGACTTCGACAGATGTTCAAAAACAGGTGTCTCGCCTGAGACATGTTAACAAAAATGATATCTTGGAGTGGCGTTTTTACTACCTCTCGTGTTAAAAATCGTGCTCTCGCTGCATACATCCTCAAACAAATCGGGCGGAGCATGGCCGGCGAAAAAAGAGCAAGGCAGAGAATGAGCAGTTCTGCCGTGCTCCTTCGCTCTTGCCGTCTATTCTGCCGTGCTCTTTCGTTCCTGGGGTCTATTCTGAAATGCTCCTTGTTTTTTTTGTGCCGTGCTCCTGCGCTCTTCGGGCCTATTCTGCCATGCTCCTGGCCATTTTCTGTCACAATCCTTTGTTCTTGGGGCTTCTGATGCTGTGCTCCTGGTCGTTTTCTGCCGTGCTCCTTAGCTCTTGGGGCATATTCTGCCGTGCTCCTTCGCTTTCGGGGTTTATTCTGCCGTGCTCCTTGTGTTTTTTCTTGCATACTCCTTCTTCCTTGGGGCGTATTATGCTGTATTCTTGCATCTATCTTGC